GGATAAAGGCCAGGATATGCTGTTAAATATCCTATAATGTACGGGATATAGCCCCTCACAGCAAAGAATTATCTGGCCCAAAATGTCAATTCAATAGTGCTGAGACTGAGAAACTGCTCTCAAGGTACCTAGTAAACAAATCACCTTAAGGTCACCCTGGGTTTCTTTGGTAGGCAGGCCCGTGTTAGGATAAGTAACACTGGTGTTAGCATACATCATTGTGGGAGTTCAAGGCTTCATAATAATCCAAACTGGCTTGATGCAATCCTACGGTGTCACTGAGACACGAGTCCCACACTGCACGGTGTCTTCATTAAATTACTGAACTAGCATGGACAACAAGTGGGGATACTTCCTCTCCAACAACAGAACAGAGCTCCTAGTCAGCTGCCCCTTACTGCTTTTTAGAAGAGCCATAAAGCTTCAGTGATTTACGTCCAAGACCATTAAGGACCCAGCAGTACACAGAAGCCACCTTATGGCACAATGGAGTATCACAACATTTAACTTTCTATTCATTTCAAATAGACAGCTAGAAAATCTATTTTCTCTTTCACAAAAGGAAACTGGGAAGGCAAGGTAAAAGGCACACAAACCATTTTTATGACAGTTACCCCTATAGCATTCTCTATCTGGCTCATCTGGTAAGAAGCATGTACAACCAGGTATGATTACTAATAATTTTTAATTATGTACAGACTAACTTCACATAAAGTATAAGAACGGGCAGGGCTCATGCATTATAACAATGATTTTTAAATTTGTTTGATTGAAGCCCATAGCCCAAAGCCCACATAGAAAATGAAAGTAAGTTTCAAAAAATATTTATCCCAAGTGCAATGCACTCTGATATCTTCTTGTCTATTTTATTCATGTTTGAGGAAAAAAATAGCTGCAACCTCTAAAATGACTTCATGATCCAGTGAGTAAAGGATCATAATGCTCAGTTTGAAAATAGCAGTATGCAACTATGATGTGATTCCATGATGTGACATGGGCACAAACTCATTTTTTTGATAGAACTAAAGCTCAGAACAGGGGGAGACCAAGTAAGAAAGCACACAACCATTTTAAATAAGCTGAAGGCTCTGGATAAAATCTACCTGAAAGTACTGAAACCTGTTGCATGATCTCAAATATTCTTTATTGCCTTGGGCAAATTAATGTCTAAAAGGGGTAAGGAGAGTAGGATTTAAAAAACTCCAGTTCTGTCATGCTGCCACTTGCCTCTTTCAACTCTAGAACCAATTACTAAAAAGTTAATATGCAATTCCAAAGATACAATACAGGTTGATTGAGCACAAACTCAGAACAAAATAATCTGTTTCTTGTTCTGAAAGGGTTCTTAGATCTACCGGTGAGGGAACCCTGCCCACACTCAATATGGTATATATTAATTACAGCAAGGCATTTGGCAAAGTTACCAAATTGCAGAATTTTAGATCTAGAAAGCGCTTATCATTTCACAAGCTAACGAAATCTCTCTCTCTCTCTCTATCTCTATCTCTCTCTATACACACACACACACACACACACACACACCCCACCCCACCCCCCGCTTAAACAGAAGCAGCCAGATGCTTGAGGTTAGGGTGAGCCAGAATGAGAGCTGAGCCTAGAACTTACATCTACTGTACTTATTCCATGACCTCAAATTACCTCTTAGTTTCTTATGACATCTCTGTGGGTAAGGTGAAACAAGAGTGAGTCTGCTGACTCTTAGCTGGAGAACTCCACCCAATGAGTTTTAGTGAACAAGTAGGTCTTTCCAGCCTAGATGGAGCTTTCTAGTAGATGCTGGAGGGCTCTGGCTCAACATTTTTACCAATGACAACATCAGAAAGACATGGTAACATGCTGAATTTCAAAATTCAAAAGGATTTTGAAAACCTTAATCAAAATAGCCAATAACATCAAGTTAAAATGCAAAGAAGGTAAATATAAAGTCCTGTATTTGGATTAAAAAAAAAATAAAAAAATAGAGGGTTCCAGGTAAGACAGAAGAAGCACATTCAACCCTGTCTCTCCACTGAATACAACTATGGAACCTGGACAGAAAGCGGTGCTGAGATGGTTGGGCAAGCCTCTGTTGCCATTTCTTATCTGTCCTCCCACAACTTGCCCTGAATGCAAGTGCAGCTGTACAAGTATGTGGCAGAGTAACTAAGGTCCCAGCTTTCTGACTGGAGGTCTGAAAAGGGGAGCTCCAGGAGACCAGAAACTACAGGGGAGATCATGGAGAGATTAGAAGAGATACAACAGAGCTGTTTATGAACTCCTGGGCTCACCCTGACAGTGCATGCATGATTCTGACCCTAATCATTATACCAACACTTTGAGAACCAAACTCAGAGAACTAAACACTGACTGGACACTGAGTGGCATATGCAGGACACACCTGAGAGCACAGCAAAAACTCTGGAAACTGAACTGACAATGGAAACACAACCCACAGAAGGCTGGTTAAAACCTTTGTTTCAAACACAACCAGGCTGACTGCCTGCCAAAACAAATAACAAGACCAGAGCCTCATGATGTAATACTGAAAATGTCCAGGATACAATAGAAAATTAGTTGGGTATATAAAAAATCAGGAAAACCTCAACTTGCATGGGGAAAGATCTTAATCAACAAAGACCAAGGTCAAGATGACCCAGATGTTGCAATTACCAAATACTTTAAAAGAACTATTTAAAAAATTTTTTCCAGCCCAGCTGGGCGTGGCTCAACAGTTGTGCATTGACCTAGGTCAATGACTGCTTTCTCATCACTGATGTTTCTCTCTCTTTTCCTCTTCCTTCCTTCCTCTCTCTCAAATCAATAAAGATATATTTTTAAAAAATTAATTAAAAAAATAAAAAATTTTTCCAGTCCTGGCCGGTGTGGCTCAATAGAGCATCAGCCTGCGCTTTCGGTGCACAAGTTCGATTCCCAGTCAAAATGGCATCAATTCCCAGTCGATGCCATTTTTTTTGTCTCTTAGAATCCTTGGGCCTTCCTATTTGGGGTCCCTCTGTCTCTGATTCTCAGCCCAGGGGCTCCCAGGAGAGCAGCTGGCATTTCTGTCCTTATGATGGGTTCAGAGGTAGGGAAGACTGGTAGCACTGGGGGATGCTGACACATTACTCACTCCCATTCTTGTTAACAAAATCTCAACTCTGTCTAGGGTTGCCATGTACCCAGCTCCCAGTGATGAATCAAAATAGGTTAGAGATAGTCATGACAATTCTTTTTTCTTTTTTTAAATATATCTTTATAGATTTCAGAGAGAGGAAGGGAGAGGGAGAGAGAGAGCTAGAAACATCAATGATGAGAGAGTCATTGATCGGCTGCAGCCTGCAACACGGGCATGTGCCCTGACCGGGAATCGAACCCTGATCGCCTGGATCCTAGGTCAACGCTCAACCGCTGAGCCATGCCCGGCCGGGCGACAATTCTTTTTTCTATTCATCTAGCCTGATGGCAGCAAGAGATGGCAAAGTGACCTAGTACCGAACAATGATATATAAGGTGACAACTGCTGGGCATTTCTGGAGGGGTGTTTTGCTCTTCAGTTAAAAAAAACCACAACAAAAAAACCCCCCAAAACAGAACAGACAAGTAGCACTTTTTTCCCCTGCTTTGAACATATGTATGACTCCAGGAGCTGCAGAAGCCGTATCATGCCCACAGGATAAAGGCGAAGAGTACTGTAGGGATGCTGGGCCTGACACTACTGAAATGCTGAACCATACCAGGCTGCCACCTACAACCAGGTTTCCTGTTATGCAAGAAAAACGAATTTCTCTTTGTTTAACTACTGCTAGCTGAGTATTCTGTTTCTTGTAGCCAAAAACATCCTTTTTTTAAAATCCTCACTTAAGGGTTTGTTTTTATTGCTTTTTTAGAGTGAGGAAGAGAGAAACATCAATCGGTTGCCTCTCATATGTGCCTTGACCAGGGATCAAACCAGCAACCTTTTCTGGTGTAGGAGATGACACTCCAACCAACTGGGCGATCTGGCCAGGGTGTGAAAAGTATTCTTTTTTTTTTTTTAATTTTATTTTTGTTTAAAATATTACAGATATCCCTTTTTCTCCCCAATGACCCGTTCCACCCCATCCCTTCCCCCTCCCCAGTCTGAAAAGTATTCTTAACTGACTTGCCAAGTGACTCAATTAGAGACAAAAGAACACAAAAACACCTTTGCTAGGGACATCTTCTCAGTCTCTCCTACTGGACAAGAACAAGGCAGGATGCAGCAGCCCCCAGGAACCTCAACCACGGAGAGGACCATAAGCCTGCCTGAGGACAGGATGCCAGTACACAGAGGGAGACAGTGAATGCCAATAATAACTCGAAGCTCTTTTACTAGTCATGCCTGAAGGAAGATCTGTTCTGGTCTTAACACAAGCTAGTATCTTTCTTTTTAAAATTTTTATTGATTTTTTAGAAAGAAAGGGAGACGGATAGAAACATCAATGAGAAACATCATTGATCAGTTGCCTCCTGCACACCCCCTACTGGGGATCGAGCCCGCAACCTGGGTATGTGTCCTGACCAGGAATTGAACTGTGACCTCTTGGTTCCTAGGACAAGGCTCAACCACTGTGCTCAACTTAGTTTGACTTTCTGACACTTGCAATTAAATGAGTCCTAACTAACAGAAATAAGCCCTCATTTCTTCAACGGCCAGCCAACCAGTTCCAAACTCTAAATCTCATTCTTTTTTTAAAAAAAATATTTTTATTGATTTCAGAGAGAGTAAGGGAGAGGGAGAGAGAGAAACATCAATGATGAGAGAGAGTCACTGAACAGCTGCCTCCTGCACAACCCACTGGGGATCGGGCCCATAACCCAGGCATGTGCCCTGACTGGGAATTGAATAGCGATCTCCTGGATCGTAAGTCATTGCTCAACCGCTGAGCAATGCCGGCTGGGCTCTAAATCTCATTCTTGACAGGTCAGCTTCTGTGCAACACCAAGAAAGGTCACAACCAAGAAAAGTGGGTACTACTCACCTTTTTGTTTCTTCTGTTCAAGTTTCATCATCTTTGCCAATAATTTCTTTTCTTTTAACTTCTGGCTACAAATGTAATATAAATACATTAATTCCTTAGCTACCTTATTGAGTATTTTAGAAACATCTACTTACGGGATCTTTAAAGATGTTATAATCACACAAACACTACAATAATAAAATGAAATACTTTCTTAAGATTCTGCTACTCCAACATCATCAACATTATCAAGCTGTTTTCTTCAAGAGAAATCCTTAGGAGTCCTCAGGTGATTAAAGCAATCTCAGAAACACTAGAGATGCTTCTTCACCCCAAGACATTTTAAAAATCCTGTGCAGCTCTCTAAAAGTTGGGGGAGTGGATAAAAAAGGGGTTCTACTGTCCTAGCCGGTTTGGTTCAGTGGTTAGTGTCGACACGTGGACTGAAGGGTCCCAGGTTCGATTCCAGGCAAGGGCACATACCTTGGTTGCAGGCTCGTCCCCAGCCCTGGTTGGGGTGTGTACAGGAGGCAACTGATTGATCTCTGTCTCCCCCCACCCTTCTACTCTCTCTGAAAAGCAATAAAAAAAAAAATATCCTTAGGTGAAGATTAAAAAAAGAGGGGAGGTTTCTACTGAAAGTTAGCTCAAAGGATGAACTGATCATAAATTCCTAACTAAGGAGGTAGTGGTGGGTAGCCGCACTCCAGGCATATGCCTTTAGTAAAAGGTTTATCTTTGTCATAAGCAAGCCCTGTCCATTATTTAAGCGCATCTAGGTTAACACACCTTTGAAATGTCTCTTCTAAGAAGTAACCTGGTTCAAGAGAGCACATAATCTGGTTAACTATTCTGTAATCCAGTCTCTGCCTTGCTTTCTCCCACCTTCATGTAACCTTCCTTAATGCATAAAAGTAGCTGCAAACTGCCATTCTGGGGAGTAGTCAAGATCTTGCTTCCTAGCAGCTGTTGTTAGTTTGGTTCAAATAAATTCTTATAAAAATTCCCTACAGGTTTAGATGCTTCTTACGTTGACAAGGAAGCATTTATTAACACACACACACAACCTGTATACTCATATATAGTCACTTAGGGAGGGCACAGCCCCTAATTTAAGGAAGCTAAATGAGAAGTTCACTCATAGCACCTAGTTAAACCTGATGTTAAAATACAGAAGTGAGGAAGACAGAAATCCATGTGATCACGGAAATGCTGAACTCCATGCTTTGAAGAATTTGTAATGAGCTGGGGGAGGGGCACAATAAGTGACTTGATCTCTTCCCAAGTACTAGAAGAAAAGCCATTTCTCCAATGGATTGCTCCATGGTGGGTTGTAACACCCAAGACCTCTATAGGTTACACAGGTAAACTTTTGACCTCAAGGACTCATTCATGAATCATGCACTTTCCCATTTCCTGCCCTTAAGTCTCATTAGTTATGAGATGCCACAAAGCCCTTACCGCTTTTTTCGACGCTTTGCAGTCTGCTCCTCTGCAGCAATTTTATTCCTTTCCAGTCTCTTCTGAAACTCTACATCCAATTTTTGCTGTAAAAAAACCCCACATCATTTAGATATACCATGGGCTGGAGATGAGAGCTCTAGAAGTCACACCAGTAGGGGTGCTACAGGCACATCTAGGCCTCCAGGGCCACTTTAACTTTAAGTAGTTGCCCCATAGGTGTGGGAAATCAATACAAGGCTCTCTGATGGTAAAGTAACTCTTTCAATTCATTAAGACACTGAGACGGGGTAGTAAGAAACTAGGAAAATTCCCTGGCAAGTGGAATAAGGAAACTGAGACAAAAGGCAGGAACAGCTGAGCAATTAGCAGCTAGCTAATAAGTCATGAGAACCTATCCTCCCTAACTGAAGATGCCAAAGAGCAGGAGGTTTAAATCACCAGTTAGGGAGCGAGGTAACAAAAACCAATTAGAGCCAGAATAATCCAAGATAAAAGTAAAACTAACCAGAAAAAGACACAAGACTCCATTATACACTCATTTTAATACATCAGCATATTAAACAACACACTGGAAATCTAATGAACACTGTCGAGATCCTCCTCAGGACAAAGGATGCTAGCTTGCACTCTTCTTTGAGCACTCCTACGTCCCCCTTTCCTCAGGCATGTCCTTTGCTTCTTCTATCCTACTAAGCTCTATGGGTCCTGATGAGGCCTGCACCCAGGGGAGCAATGGGCAACAGCAGCTCCTCCTGGGCTTACCCCTTGATCCTGTCTCCAGGGGCCCCTCCTTTGCCTCACTGTCCCAAGCTTTAATAAACTTACTCTCACTTTCACCTGGACTGTGTCTTGAAGTTTTTCCCACAGGAGTCAAGAAATTGGATGTCACCTGACACCACAAAGGTTCCCGAACAGTGCAGTGGTAGCGCCAGCCCCCTGCTCGGAAGCTGTCTGGTAACAATGCCATTCATGCACAACAAAATGTAAGAGAAACTATGCGAGGGAGCACTACGGGGTCTGTTTAGCCAGGTCCTTAGTGTGATGTTGTGACTTAAATAAGAAATGTATATTTGATCTTCATCTACTGTTTCTGACACATAGCTCTTAAAACTCTTATAAATTTCCCATATAAGAGCCACAGGGACATCTTTTATTATAATAGTTTTGTTCCCAGTTCTTGGAAGAGCTCCAGAGATGAAGGTGAAAGGATGTCCTTTGTTATTCATAACAAGCCCCTTTCAACCACAAGAGTTTATGTTAATGAGTGACTTTTGGAAAGCCACAATGGAAGAGGTCTGGTTGCCAGGGGATCTTTCAGCCCCACTTCCTGAACTCCAGGGAGGAAAGAGGGTCTGGAGGTCAAATCAATCACTAAAGGTCAATGGCTTAATCAATGGTGCCTACATAATGAAGCCTCCAAAAATCCAAAAGTATGGGGTTTAGATAGCTTTCAGGTTGGTGAACACGTGGAGGTGCTGGGAGAGGGTGTGGGAGCTCCTCACCCCTTCTCCCATCCAGCTGTTCCTGAGTTTATATCCTTTTGTAATACACCTGAAGTCTAGTAAATAAGATGTTTACCAGAGTTCTGTGAGCCCCTCTAAGCAAATTAATCAAACTCAAGGAGCAGGTCATGGGAAACTTCAGATTTACAGTTGGTCAGAAGCACAGATGATAACCTGGACTTCTGATTGGCTTTTAAAGGGGGGAATGGGGGCTGTCTTGTTGGACTGAGCCCTTAACCTGGGTGATCTGCCCTTCTCTCCAGATAGTGGCAGAATTGAGTTAAATTGTATGGTGTCACAGAATTGCTTGGTGTGGTAAAACTCCCACATATTTGGAGATCAGGAGTGTCAGAAGTGTAGTAGAGTACTGAGAGTAGAGGAGACACACAGAAGTTTGATTTTCTTTAGAGACAGTGACAGGAACTCACCAGATGAATTGGCCCCTCTGGCTGGACCCATGGAATTTTCAAGTCCTAACTAGCTCTGGTTATCATATGGCTGATTCTAAAGCAGCATGACACACACTGCCATCACCTGCTAATAAACACATACATGGTGTGTGGTAGGCAGTTTGACAGACAAGAGCAAAGCAAGGACAACGGGCCAAGTACAGAAGGTCACCAGGGCAGAAAGTCCTGGGTGCCTAGCAAAGGACAACTGTAGGGTGGGACCTCATCCCCAGAGACAACTACTGTTCTGATTTTCTTCCCCACATAGATTAGGTTTTTTCCCCCATAAATGTTTCCATGTAAAAGAAATCATATAGTACGATCTCTTTTGTCCAAGACTTATTTCACTCAGCATGTTAAGAATCATCCACACTGTTGCATGCATCAGTAGTTTGTTTTTTTTTACTGCTAAGTAGTATTCTATTTTTATGAATGTGTGTTTTAATTTTTAAAGTATTTTATTCCTTTGTATAGAAATAAATTCGACAAAGAACCTAATTTTTTTAAGTCAAATTACTGGAAAATGAAATATTATTGGGTAAAGTAGTTTCCTCTTTCATAAGTAGCATACAAATAAATATCATTTTAAAATATCTGAATCTCTCTAAATATATAAATGTATTCCATGAAATAACAGTCATTATGGTAAGACCGAGGAAAAGGACTTTTCCAGTGAATGCTGTAAGATTAAGAACAAGGGGCAATCTCTCATGCAAAATGTTAAGAGGAGAAATGAGAGAACCACCTAGCATCACTGCAATAAAAAAACTTAAAATATTTTTGAACAAATGTGGTGAGATATATGCAAAACCTCCAGAGAGATACAAAAAGATTTAAACCAATGAAAAACCATAGTTTCTTGAAGGGATGATGAAACACTATAACATCCATTCTTATTAAAGTTAAGTTATAGATCAACTCAATTCTAGTTAAAAATCCAGCAAGATTTCTGGTGTAGATAAATAACTCCAAAATTTAATTAGAAAAAGAAAACAAGTGGTATGTCTGAAAGAGTATTTTTTTTAAACAGGAGAGAGATTTCTGGCCCTCCCAGTCAAGTAATAGAAAGCTTAATAGTTCTTACAGTACAATTTATAAAGTAATTCTCAATTTTTAATCAATTACTACTTGATACTTGTCATGAAGAAATGCCAGCCTCCAAGCTAGAAAACAAAAAGCAGCAGACACACAGAGATACACTATTCACAAAAACACACAGGTAACTGGAATTATAGGCATTCAGCCAAAAAGAGAGGGAATAATAGAGAATAACTCAAGTGGTGTGGGAGATCCTATTTTCTATTCCATTTCATGGCAAATGGTTTGGAGGGGAGAAGGGACTGCCCTTCTATACACATGGAAGTCTCCTCTCCCTCATTCATCTCCTAGTGTGATTATCTTGCCATGCTGAGTCTGACCTAGGAGTAACCCGGACTCAATGTCTGTTTTTGGTGCTGACTTTAAAAGGTAGCCCTTACACATACCAGGTGTATCTACTCTGCTTTTTTCTCAAAATTATTAAGTGCACACTGCCCAAACCCAAGGGTTCAGTCAGCCTCCTTGCTCACTGACCTTCTCAGCCATGGCATCCATGTAGTCCTGTCGCTGATACTCTCTCCGGCGCAGATGCCGATACACATGGAACTCACCACTGCCAGCCCCAGCGCTTGAACCTATAGCCAGGACAGTTCAGAGTTCTTGATGAGCTCCAGTTATCAACATAGGCTACCTTTAATTAAAAGTGACCAAAAAAGAAACTCAAGTAATGGAAGGGACAGCCTGTCCTATTCCCCACTATACTGCAGAATCTAGCACAGTGTCTAGTACATAGTGTAGGCATCATTCAATATTTGTGGCATGAACAGTGAATGTGCAGTCACTAAAAATTCCACTCTATTAAGAGGAGAAACAGAATGCAGCTCAGTGGCCAGAAACCTAGAAGAGAGCCTATAACCTTTCTCTCCCCGCCAGATGATTTCACATTTGCCATGCTAAATTTCTACTGAGATGAAAAGATGTCCATGATATATTAAGTGAAAAAAGTTGCTTATCAAATAGTATGTGTAGAACAACCACATTTTTCTAAAAACTTTTTTTCTTAAGCAGCAGTGGTTTTGTCCATAAAGAGGTTTGGACAGCTCTACCAGAATGTTACAAGTGGAATGATGAAATTACAGGTGGTTCAAACTTTTTAAATACTTTTGTTATTTATTTTTCTTTATAATTAATGTTAATTTACAACCCAACGAAATAATAAAACTATTTCCACTGAGAAATAACCAATATGAGGCATTCTTAAAAACAATGCATAAGACAATTCTCTAATACCAACTCCTCTGTTGTAGGAGCAAAATATTGGACGACTGAACATTATTTTTCCTATCAGAGATCTAATTAACATATACTAACTGCAGGGTTTTTATATATCTACACTTCAAAAATTGTATTTACACACAAACACACTTGCCAAAAGACATTACCCATTACATCTCGGACAAATTCTGGGGGAGGTCGAGGTGCCCATTCACTCATTTTTTCTGGAATTGGGACTGCTTTGTCCTGAAACATTTAAACAGGAAAGCATTTATAAGTATAAACCAGTTGACAAAGTCACATCTCTTATAACCAAAGAATTTTAACTAGACTAATGAAGTAAGGCTACTTTACTCCTTGGACTCGAAGCTGATTTTACCTCCTTCTCTCTGTTTTAGCCTTACTTCGTCCGGTATACTTTGGGGTCTATCACAGCCCACAGCCTAGTCAAGGCTATTCTTAACTTTCCAGAGACAAACTCAGAAACGTTAAGTCACCATGTATGGCGGAAGTCTCCAACTTTAACCCTACTTTAACCCGAGAAGAATCAACCCTTTCAGTAAAATATATGAGACCTTCTCATCCAATTGTTTTTATGACTGAGGGGGCTGAGGCCTGGCCAGGGGCAGCGACTTGCCCCAATGCCTCTAACAAGGTACCGTTTAGAAGAAAATAACCCTTGTGCTAACCCACGGGCTCTAACTTTCCAGTTTAAGGCTTCTGACCCTTCTGTTCACAAAAACTTCAAATGGAAAAAGTCTTGGAGCACGGAGAGCCGCTCCACAGCGCCCCCATCGTGTCTGAGTTGTAACATAAGGACAGAAGGCAGCTCACAATCTCTGAGGCAGCCTACTCCTTAATGACAGGCGCTGGGGTTCGGGTAATGAATTTCTGAATTTGGAGGTGGGGGAGGTGGACCCGTGGGCCCCCAGAGGCGCCGGAAGGAAGGGGGTGGGACTCGGAGGGCCGACTGGCCCACGCCTCATCTTACCGGGTTCTTCATCAGCCGCTCCAGCTTGAGCTTCTGCTCCTCCGCCGCATTCTTAGGGATGACGAGCGCTTGCGGCTCTTTCTTGGGCCGCGGCGGTCTTACCGAGGAGGCGGCTGAACTCGCCATGACAGTTGTACTTCTCTAGCGAGCAGCGGCGGCGGCGCGCGCGTATGACGACAGAGACGCGCGCCAGCGACGCAAGCGCAGTCTTCCAGCTGGGCGGGGCTGGGGCGGAGTCGCAAAGTGGAAGCAGGCTGCTGAATATTCATGAACCCGAGGCCGGGTGGGTTGTTTTGATCAAAGCTGCTTGATTTCATTTCCTGTTTCTGGCAAATCCTGGCGGCGGAACGCGTGCGTCCCTGGGCTGGAGAAGTCCTGCGTGCCCTAGGGTTCCGCCTTAGCTGACCTCTACTGTCGCGTGCGCGTCGTGGCTCCGCTGGCAGTCCCGCTTGCTGATGGCTCTCAGCCTCCCCTCCCGCCTGGTCCTTTGTCCTGACCCTTCCTTGGGTCTGGTTCGCTCTTCCTACCCATTTCTGACAATCTGTTCATTTTAGATAGTTCCAACAGCTGCCGAAGGACTGGGACCTACCTGTCTCTTTCGCCCACCTCAAATTACTCTGCATCTGGCTCCCAGCAAATACACCTCAGCCGAGTGAATGAGACTTTCTTAGGAGAAAGAAAAGCTGCCGCTCACAACTGGGAGCTGGCCTGGCACAGCTAGGCCTTGTGCTCTCCTGTTGAACATCAATTTCCCAGAATACCAACATCACACTAGGCCATTCTGTGACGGTGATTGAGCAAGACATAAACAAGAATGCTCTGTAATCATTTTTGATTGAAAAACATGAATATCTTTGGAACCAGAAAAAGACTAAACATTTTTGCCCTTCTGGCTAATATGAGTAACTGCTGCTTCTTTACAGCATTGGCTTCTCCATTCATTCCTTTCACTTTATTGTCTCTGCTTCCTGAGAGCATCTAATCCGGAGTAGAAGCCCACATACTTGAACCCTCCCCCAAATCACTTAACCTAAGCCTAAATCCTATAAGCCTTTGTTAACACTCTTGCTGAAATAAGTGCAGTCTCCCTCCTAGAAAGAGGTAATAAACCCAACTTGTTTAGCTACAGGTATGCTCTTGGTGGTCTTCACAATTGTTGGTTTTCTCGTTTATCATTTGTTGCCTGCTAGAGAGTGGGAATTCTGTCTTGTTCACTGCTGTATTTCCAGTGTGTGGGGCAAGGCCTGGCTCACAGTAAGGCACTCAAACATTTGCTGGATGACCATGGGATCTTGGGGGCCAGGTACCTCAGATACTACCGCTGCTGCTGCCTGCTCAGCCTGCTCAGCCCAGGATAGCTCACTCACTGAATGTCCAGGGGTTAGGCATGTGACTCCTGTGACAGGGTGCTGTATTAACACTATCAGGCCATTCTTGGCTGCCTGATAGTGGGTGGTTTTCCAAGGGCCAACAGTGATGAATTAGGGGAAGTTCTTGAGTGGCCCAGGTCTGTCACTAGAACATAGGGAGGGCTTGGCCTAGGTGTAGTCAGGGTCACTTGACCCTACATTACACACTTCAGCCATTCAAGCACCTCACTTTTTCCCAAACACATTTAAAAAAAAAAAAAAAAAAGACTTTACTTGGCGTGTCCTTTCCTCCCTAGAGAAGGACACACACCCTTCTTAGCTTGGCTTAAATGCTACTTCCTCCATGAAGCCTATGACTGCCCCCAGTTCCCTCCTCCAGGTAGATAATTGCCTCTTTCGTGGTGCTTACCCTGCTCTGGGTCCCAATTTCTGGCAAGTGGTACGTATCACAGTGTGTCCTCACCATCTGTATACCCACAAGTCTTGGGGGAGACCTGAGCCAGAATCCCAACATCTAATCTTGGCCTAGAGTAGAGTGGTGCTTCCAGAATGCTTGCAGAAAGGGGAATGAGGGGAGTCACAAGTGCCTGAAAAAATAAAGAATGTATGAACATGTAAATGAGATGATCTAATGATAGATGGATGAATGAATGAATAAGGAAGTTAAATGAGTGAAAATATGAGAAAATGAATGAACACTCTACAAAATAATATTGAATGTCAATAAATACTAACAATAAATAAATGGATACACCATGGTGAATGAATGAAGGAAGGAAGGAATAAACACATGAGACAGTGGATTAGTGGAAAATTACAGATCCAGGAGGGCAATCATCTCTCTGGCATCCCCAGCTCAGGGTCTGGCACAGAGCTGGTGCTTGGTAGATAACTGCTGGATGGAAGTGAAGTGAATGAATGAAATGAATGAGTGCACAAAGGTAGAGTTAAGGCATGTGGGTGTGAAGGAGCTAGTAATGACAACCTCAGTCTAAGCATAGTTTAAATGTGTTGACTTGTTTGTCATTCTGATTTATAGATAAGGAACTGAGGCCCAGAGGTTTGAGCGACTGGTTCAGGGTCACATGGACTCAAACCCAGCAGTCTGGCTCTGGGTCTTTGAGGCCCTAAGTGATCATATGACTCACAGATAGCTGGACCAAGGTCCCCAGCAGACACTGGTGAGGGCCATCCATGTGGCACTCTTCTAGGACTGAAGCCAGATTTGAGTTCCTCTGCTTGGGAGGCAGGGATGCCTTCTCAGCCTCTCTGCCCAAGAGTGGACGTAGGCCCAGAGTGCCACCATATCTCCCACCAGAGGGCAGCAAAGCTCCACCCAGGCCCACCTGCTGGCCTGTACCCCTGAGGCTGAAATCTTAGCACTAGGGAATGAGGTCTCCTGCCCTGAAAGACACCAGTGCTTCAGAGTCTGGTGGGCCTGTTGCCACTGTTTGGCTCCACCTGTTCTGGAGCGTGGGCTTGGAAATCAACTTAACCTCTCAAGGCTGTTTTCTTATGCTCAAGATGGAAAAAGCAAACCTACCCAAAGCTGGCCTGTGGATAAAATGATATGATGAATGTACAGTGCCTGGCACAGTACCTGACATTCAGTAGAGTGCCATCTGTCCTAATTTGGTCCTAGGACTGAGAGGTGTCTCAGAATGTAAGACTTTCAGTGCTAACGCCAGGAGAGTCTTGGGTAAGCCAGGACAGTTGGTCACCCAGGAGGGGTGGTCACTCCTACCACAATCCTTAAAATTGTGGTTGGTACTTGAACTAAAACAGCAAATTTTTTTACAGCTATTCAGTAATTTGAGTTTCTCACTAAATTAGTGATCTTTCCACAGTGGTCCTACTGTTGACGACAAGAGAACAGTTCCTCCAATGGGAATGAAAACGAAGATGGAGTATACCAGGTTGGGAAAAGAGTTTGTGAGTTTCCTGTAAAGATAAACACACATGTATCATATAATCCAGCAATCTTACTCCTGGGTATTTACCCTAGAGAAATGACAATATGTGTCCATTGAAAGGCCTGTATGTGAATACATAGAGCAGCTTGATTCATAATTGCCAAAACTGGAAACAACCCAAATGTCCACCTAATTGTGATATTTCTCTTCAGTGATACACTACTCAGCAATAAAAAGGAAGAAATTATTGATACTTGCAACCACACAGATGATTCTCAGAAGCATTATGGTTAGTGAATGAAGCCAGATTCAAAAGGCTGCAACCTGAATGATTCCACTACTTGACATTCTGGGAAAGACAAACTGATAAGGACAGAGAACACGATAGCAGTTGCCAAGGCAAAGGGTAGGAGGAGGGGGCTGACTGTAAAGGGCTGAGGGAAATTTTTGGGTGACAGACATGTACATATGGATTGTGGTTGTAGTTACATGAAATACACATTTGTCAAACTCATTGAACTATATGCTTAAAAAGGGTCAATTTAATTGTATAAAAATTATACCTCAATACACTTGACATAATAAACAAAGGTTGCTTTGCCAGGTTGCAGGGGAGCCAAACCCCATTGTCTGGGTGGCTTCGGGGAGCACTGCCAGCGTTTAGCCCATTGTACCTCCCTGAGGCAGCTGACACCCTGTAAATCTGCCCTGCCCTGCCCTGTCCATGTGGCCAAAGGGTGGGGTAGCAGTGAGAGGCTTTCTGAAGCCTAGAGGCTAATGAGGATGAAGCCCCCACACTTCTGCTTCTGCCCCCCCCCAGGACAGAATTCTAGCTGCTCTGGCCAAGGCTGATCAGCACTCCCAGGCCAGGGCTCTTTTTGAGCCAGGCGTCATTGAGCAGTGGGAGGAGGTGCTTAGAGCTACAACTGGCATGACCCCACCCTCCCGAGCTCTCAGTCTGACTCACTAAAGTACCTTCCTATTCCTGAACTTGGACCCCCATGTTTGGGGGACTCAGTGGTCCCCTGGTTGAGCTGCATCGCCCTGTGCAGGCTGGCCCATGATCTAATACTCTCTCCTATGATCGACTGAGTTGAGATTCAGGTAGAAGGTTAAGCCTTGGCTCATGCGCACTGATGACACTTAAAGGCACAGGGGCTATGGAGAGTGCAGGAACTGTGCTGTTGGCTGCTTTCTCTTAACTGCTTTAGAAGGCTTGAAAGGAGAAAATGCAGCCTCGGTTAGCCAACCATCAACTCATGGCAGGCTATGAAAGGCAGAAGGCATCCAAGGTGGCGATCTTTGGAGAGGAGGCATTCAACACCAGGTAGGCAAGATGGCTTGTCTAGTGGAGGTCACCCGCCTCTGTCCTAAGCCACTCCTGTGATTGTGCAACTGGTCTATAGACAGAGTAGCTATATGCAGGGCTGAAGGCACAATCTTTGTCCTTTAATTGGAGATTAAATTTACTTAATAGAAATTTATAGATTTAAAAAATATTATTTTACTACATTTGTACTTTTTATTTATTTATGTTTCTTCTTTTATTTTAATCCTCACCAGAGGATATTTTTTCCATTGCTTTTCAGAGAAAGTGGAAGGGAGGGAGAGAAACACCAATGTGACAGAGACACATCGATTGGTTGCCTCCTGCACCTGTCCCGACCAGGGCCAGGGATTGAGCCTACAACTGAGGTACCTGCCCTTGGCTGGAATCAAACCTGGGACCCTTCAGTCCGCAGGCCAGGGCTCTAACCACTGAGCCAAACCAGCTAGGGCTCTATGTTTCTTTTTATTTAACTTCTTTTCTTGCTTACTTTTTGATTGTTTGAGTATTTTTACTCTATTTCATTTTTCTTCCTCTGTTAGTTTGCAGTTTATATACACTCTATTGTTCTTTTAGTGGTTGTACTAGAAATTGCAATATGTAACAGACTTGTCTAAACTTAAATGGTAGTTTTACCATCTTTAGGACAATGCAAAGACTTTAGAGCACCTTAAATTTTTATTTTTTTTGAATTTGTGAGGTTTCTTGAATTTGTGACTTGATATCTTTCATCACTTTCTCAGCCATTATCCTTTCAAACATTGCTTCTGTTCTCTTCTCACTTTGCTCTGCTCTAGGCTTCCAATTTCATGTATGTTAAAAGGTATATCATAGCTTATGACATACATCCATATATTGTATTATCACTTTGGATTTTCTACAATTTTATTTCTCCATGTTTCATTCTGTATATTGTCTTCTAATGTATTTTTCAGTTGACTAATACTCTCTTCATATGTATGTAATTTGTTATGAAACACCATTCATGGAATTCTTAATTTAAATTACTGTATTTTTTAGTTATAAGTTTTTTGCTTGGCTCTTTTTCAGATTTGCTATGTCCTTTTTATAGTGTCTTGTTTTCCGCTGAAGTTTTTTATTTCATCTTACATAGCACATTAAAATTTGCTGATAATTCCAATTTCTGAAGGCCCCATGCATCTGTTTCTATTATCTGTTGTTTCTTCTGGATTTTCCCCATGATATCTTATCTCCTAGTATGCCTGGTTATTTTTAGATGGGTATTTAGGATTATGCTGACTGACTCCAGAGAAGATTTAAATTTGCTTCTGCCAGGATACATTGCTAGTGCTTGAGAGTTCTAGCAGTCCATGATTATTATAATTCAATTTCAAGAATTAAGATGATTGGAATCTGGACTTCAGTCCATGTGAGAGCTAGTTTACTTCTGGTTCACTCTGACTCTGAAGATGCAGCCCTTTGTGGTTTTCACTCCAAAGCACAGAGACTTTAATAACAACCCCTGTCTGGTGAACCCTATATTCAAATAATTGTTCCCTAGGTCAACAAGGCTGTCAGAAAGCTCCTTGGGCTCTCAAACATTCATCCTCTGCTTCCAAATTGGCAGACAACTTTAGGAAAATGTGGCCTGAAATGCTGGGCTCACCTCTGGACTTCTGATGTCTCCCAGACCGTAGCCTCATAACTCTTCACTGTCTCCTTAACACGCCTATGCTTTGAGCAGGTTTAAAAATATATTTTGACCAACTTTTCTAACTTCCTTACCGGGTAGGTTGGAGGCAATGTGTCATTACTAGGAATGAAAATCTTAGTAATAGATACTAGTTCTATTTTTCAGTTAGAGATACCAGACTCAAAGAGGTTAAATAACTTGTCCAAGGTCACATTGCAGTACATGATGGGGCTGAGACAGTAACATAGAGTGTGACCCCCAAAGCCTCTGTTCTTAATTTTTATGCTCTGACACCACTAGGCAACCCAACTCCTTGGCTGAAAGTTCTTGATGCACTGGCTCTGCCTGTGCCTGCAGCTGGCCTCCCCTCCCCCTTCTTTAAGGCCCAGGGTTCCCACAGAACCTAGCCATGCCTCTTTGGCTATTCCTTTGGCCTCATTTCCCTTCACGCAGCCTCTACCCAGGACAGGGCAGACCTGTGCAGGAAACAGAAGTTCGGGTGCAATCAGAGCATGATGGGATGGGGCAGGCTTAGGCATCGCTTCCCCTTACTGGGGCTCTGAGTAGCAGCTGAGTTCGCACCAGCTTTATTTGGAAGCTCTCCACTCTTTGCTGACTCATAGGCAGCTTGGGTCAACTCACACTCTCTGTAATTGCATCTATGTCTTTTGAAGCTGCTGCAGAGTGGGAGGGGGCCACGTGAGAGACCCGATAATTCCCTTGGTTGAATTTCCTTGTCAGGACACCTCTTCCTCACTGGTTGGCCCAGATAATCTTGGACCAGAAATGTGACTCACTCCTCTTCAGCTCCCCAGCAACCCCAGTGGGATCAGCAGGGCCTGGTCGCTGTCCTTAAGAGCCTTCCGTCCAACTTCACAAGGAAAAGAGGCCATTAGTCACGAAGGTTGTTTATTCTCCCCCCTCTTTCCCCTCCAGTGGTTGACATTTCATCACCCCTCTTCATCCTGTCTCACGTCTATAAAGACCACAAGCTTTGGAAGTACAGCAACTTTGGTTTAGATCCTGGATCTACCATTGACAGGTTATCTGACCCTGGGTGAGTCATCAGTCTTTCTAGGCCTTAATTTCTTATCTCTAAAATGGGGATAATTATACTTATCTCATGGAATGGTTGTAGGGGCCAATTAAGATCAAATGTATAAACAGAACACAAGCTAGAATTCAACAAATGGAAGCTGGTATGTAGTTGTCATCCTTGCCACGGTCAAGCCTGCCACCTGAGGTCTGCAGCCTTTTTCCCAGGACCCTCCAGGACTGGCTCCACTAGCAATTTCTTCTTTTTCTGGTAATCTCACCCTCTCCTTCAACACACAGACATGCTCCACCTTCCCAGACTCTACATTCTTCACCAGGTATTCCCTTTCCCTTCACCATCATATTTCTGCTTTTGAAAAAATTGAAATTATAGATATAAAAATAATCTTAAGAAAAGAGACTGTAAAGTAATTCCATGTACCCATCACCTAACTTCAATAATTATCAACATTTTTAGTTCTGCCCTCCTGCCCTGCCCTGCTGGTGTACTGTAAAGCAGATTCCAGATATCACATTGTTTCATCTATAAATACTTCTGGATGTATCCCTAACAAATAAGAACCTTAAAAAATACATAATGCCACTTAAAAATTAATAATAATTCTTTAGTATACCCAGTCAGTGTGGTAATTTTCCTATCTAAAAAATTATTTTACAGTTAGATTATTACACTTAGTTCCTATGTTTTATCTATATCAGTTCCCCTCCCTTCTTTTTTTCTTTTCATGACATTTATTTATTGAAGAAATAGTATTTTTTCCTACAGAATTTCTCAGCTCTGGATTTGGCTAAATGTAATTTTTAGTGTTCTTTGACATGTCTGTTTATCCTCTTATTATGATTAATTTTTGTATAAACTCATAGTTAGAGACTTGGTTGAATTCAGGTTCCACTTTTCACTTGTTTGTTTCATAAAAGGTGCTATGTTTTACCATTTTCTCACCTGAGGATCCCCATTGTGACTGGTTGTCCTGCTTTTAGGCATGTTAGG